TGATCGGCCGGTTCAGACGAATGGCGATGCTTAAACGCAGGAGTTGAGCAATTCCTGAAGACTGATGTAGTCAGTGGAGCCTTGGGCTGCGTGAAAGTGGCGATCGCTGGTCTGAAATGTCGTCTCCCCAACATTCTCGGCCTCCGGTTGCGTCTGCTCGCTGCATTCGCCACCGTCGCCGTCGACGTCGCCGTTGCCTTTGTCGATGCCGTCGACATTGGCGATGGTGAGCGGCGTGTAAAGTGGCGGCTGTCGGCCCAAATGAGTCATCAGACGAGCTGTGATTCGTGGCGTCGACGTCGACGTCGACGTTGACGTTGATGTTGACGTTGACGTCGACGTTGACAATGAAGTCGGCGTTCGACGATCGGCGCATTTGGCGTCCAACACACGCGGCCCAAGCTGTCCGTCGGCCGGTCTCCTCTGACCTGGTGGCATTTGCCGCAAAAGAGAGTCGAGCAGCGCCGTGTACTGCTCCTCCTCCGCCTCCTCGGCGCCGACACACGTGGCCGGCCTCGCCCGAGCCCCGGCCAGCTTCACGCAATTGCCGCCAGCATCCACATTCGTCTTGTTTTCCGTCGTCGTCGCCGTTGCCGTCGCCGTCGCCTTTGACGACGTCACTTTGCCGACGCGTCTGGTCACGGGTGGAGTGAAAAAGGGCCATTCGTAGAGCAGTCCGACCGGTTGACCTCGTAGCCTTCCGGCGGATCGAGTCTCGCCGTAGCCTCGACAACCGGTACCGACGATGCCGCCCGTAGCCGAGGGCGTCTTCTCGCTTGACTGCGCTTTCACTCTGCCCATTGTTTGACTGCGCGGAGCCGACAGGTCGGTCACGGTTGGGCGAACACGGACGGTTGCGCCGCTGCCGCTGCCGGTGCCGGTGTTCGACTGTCCGAGTCCGGTGGTCAGAGTGCCGGAACGCCATTTGACGTCGCGCAATCGCCGCGATTGTCCGGCCGATTGGCCGACTTTTGCGAGTATGAGGCCGCTGGTACCGACGGAGTCTGTGCAGTGGCCCGAAGGAAGATGAAAAAGACACACAAATGCAATGAGAAAACACATATTTGCCTCAGCCACAAGTAAACTATAAAATGTAAAGAAGTGGGTTGACCTCGTTGTCATGATTGCCAGCAACAGACTGTGGAATTGGTACATTCTCAGACGTTTCGCCGGCATCGTAGTCGGCATCTTCAGCGGATGCTGCTACGAACTCGACTTGTCACTTTGACGACTGAGAATGTACCGAGTCTACTGTCTGATGATGGGAATCATGACAACTATTCGGACTAGATGCATTCTACCTAGTCGCCCTGACAACAAGACCAAACTGCGACAACGACGTCAACCAACTTTAATAATATTTCGGAAACCATGAGATGTAGAACCATCATATCTGCCGGTTGGCACGCAATAGAATGTCATAGAAGAGCGAGAAAAATGGCTATTAGTAGATAAGTTAAGGGAATCTGCACCACCGAGTTAGGTTGCCATGCCAATTGAGAATACCGACTTTAGGGTCTTGCTCAGTGAGGATGGTGTATACGTGCTATCAAAGGAAGAGAGAGAGATTGAGAGATTGGGTGGCAACGATAGAAACAGGCGGACCAAGAGAGGACTCTGAAGGAGGGATGAAGACACCAGCGCAAAGTATGAATATATTTCATATAGGTTCGGATAAACAAGCAAGAAATTGTGATATTGAAGAGCTGAATAGTACAAGACAGAAGAAATGATACGACAACTGTTGCTTTGACGAGATGTATTGTGGTGCTAAGAATGGCAAGGCTCACTAAAACTGTACCAAATCCACGGTCCGACTGTGAAAATGATCATGCGTCCCGGGGACTTCGGACTAATAGGACCAAGTTGCGAAAACAGGGTCAAATAACTTCTCAAAAATGTAATT